CTTGATTGGACAATGTGACTGATTGTTTGGGGGAAAGGGAGAACTTTCACTTTTTAATCAGGTGAAAACCGCAGGAATTTTCAGAGTCAGTTTTCACCAGATTGTGCCAATATGATATTTCCAATAAAATTGTTCTTTGGGGAATCAGAGTTCTGCTTTCTATGGAGTTATCACTTGGAACCCTGACACTCTTCTGTTAATTAAAGTCAATGAAGTGGGTGGATGGGAGTGCATTCACTTAACAACAATGTGACTCACTTAATGACCATGGCAAAAAGGTCATAAAATCAGGCACTGCTCACTTAACATCCATGTTGCTTAGCAACAGGAATTCTGAGCGCAATTATGCTCATAAACTGAGAACAAGGTGTGCTGAATAAGGTTGTTTCCAAACACTACTTTGATAAACAGCTGTTCTATTAAAAGCCATTAAAAGAAGTTTATCTAAACATTGTCTGACACCATAACCTCCTTGTTTTTCGAATTTAACCTATTCTGGTGGAGGATCAGTGACCTTAAAACCTCCGATTAGCACTCTTAATTGTAATTGACAAGGTAATTTCCTGGTTAGCATTGTTCAGCTGTAGACTAAGTGCACTAACCATGAAAAAGGTGTAACCTTTAGCCACCATATTAATTCCTCTAATTGAAACTGACAGAGCAATTATGCCAATGAACATCCCAATCAGACAACTAGTTCATTTATGCTTTTCCCAATAGAGAACATTTTTTTTCTTTTGTTAAAAAAAAAAGAAATACAAGAATTTATAACTAACTAGCTGTCTAATTATTTTAGAAAAAGAGGGAGATATTTTATTCTAGTTGGTTGCACAGCCAGCCAGATATTTTGATTGGGTTTGGCATTTTTTACAACTTATGGAGACCTGGGATATTATTATTATTATTATTATTATTATTATTATTATTATTATTATTATTATTATCATTATTATTATCATTATTATTATCATTAAGATGATCATTATCATTCTCTCTTTTATTCATTAAACATGAAACTCAGTCAACTGAACATTTAAAAATGTATCTCAAATACCAGTGACTGGTGCTAATGGTTGATACTGGTTGCTGCCAGTGTCCTAGGTATCAACCAAGCATCTTCTTAAAATATACGATGGTTCTGAGTAGCACTGTTTTTTGTGCCATTCCACAGCAAATTTCTTGATGAAGCTGCAATTTCTTGATGTGTTTTGTAAAATTTTTGGACATGGTACCAAATGCCCCAATGGCAATGGGGATATCACTGTTACATGTTTCATTCATAACCATGTAGTTTCGATGGCCAGGTCACAATATTTCATGATTTTTTTCTAGTTCTTTTTCTTAGACTCTGGCATCTCCTGGAACAGTGATATCAATGAAGTGTAGGCTACGGTTTTCGACAACTGTGATATCTGGTGTGTTGTGTTCCAAATGACAATCCGTCTCTATTCGAAATGCTCATCTCTTAGGACAGACAGCTTGACAAAGACTATGATGTCTAGTTTAATGAAAAAAAAGGACCAGGGGTGATAGGATAGCAATGTTCCAACATCTAAGGGGCTACCACAGAGAAGAAGGGGTCAACCTATTCTACAAGGCAGGACAAGAAACAATGGATGAAAACTAATTAAGGAGGAATCAACTCATAATCAAGGATAAATTTCCTGACAGTTATAACATTTAATCAGTGGGATGATTTGTGGGTTTTTTTGGTGCTCTGTGAGCTAGCTTGATTTCTTGCAGACATCTCATCACCCTAACTAGACAACATCATCAGTGCTAGTGAGGAGTGCTGTTTGCTGTCAGTTTATATTTTGGTGACTTGCCTGTTTGTGTGCGTGGGGATAGCCTTAGAGATTCTTTGGTTGGATTATTTACTGATGGCTTTTTAGCAATTTCTTGATTGGGATGTTGCTCACTTGATTGTTGGTCTGAAATTGACCTTGGAATTGATCTATACTGATAGCAATAGCACTTAGACTTATATTCCTCTTCACGGTGCTTTACAGCCCTCTCTAAGTGGTTTATAGAGCCAGCCTATTGCCCCCAACAATCTGGGTCCTCATCTTATCGACCTCAGAAGGATGGAAGGCTGAGTCAACCTTGAGCCTGGTGAGATTCGAACGGCCAAATTCCAGGTAGCCAGCAGTCAGCAGAAGTAGCCTGCAGTACTGCATTCTAACTACTGTGCCACACAGCTCATGATCTGAATGCTAATTTCTTTATAGAGAGGTGCTGGAGTCTTTTTGTTCTCTTTTGGGCTTGTTGATTGTCTCTTTTGCACAGTCCATGGATATTGTTAATGTCTACATGTCTATTGATGGCTGATTTGCCAGAGTGCCAGGCTTCTAGAAATTCCCTGACATTTTTTGGGATTTGCCCTGGTGACTTGCCTTCAGAAATTATGGGTGCTCCAACAGTGGAAGTTTTCAAGATGAGGTTGGACAACCATTTGTCTGAAATGGTATAGGGTTTCCTGCATGAGCAGGGGGCTGGACTAGAGGACCTCCAAGGTCCCTTGTAAGTTGGAGTCTAAAATCCCTTGTAAGTCTAGACAAACATTAGTGATATTAAAAAGAAGGTCACTGTGAGTTTTGGAATTAAACCTTATCCAATGGTGTCCCTATTCCACCTGTGTGGGTGAAAGCCATTTATTGCTGTTTTCTAGTATCGGGAAGGAACGAAAAAGTTCATGCTGTCATTGATTGACCTTTAGAAAGAAAAATGTAGCAGGCTTATGGGTAATAAGAAAACAATGTTTTCTTTTCTTTATAAGATAGTAGACTTTCTCCTTTAGAGCCTATGGCATGGTTTCACTTTTAAAAAAAAAAGAATCTATCATAACGAAAGTATATTACTATCATGCCTATCTTCTCAGTAAACCTCAGTTATTAAGAAATAGAAGTCCTTCTTCACAATAATTAATTATCCAGAGAATGGCTGATCAACTGTTCTGGTAGCCTGGTGGCCATCTGTATTTTACTTTGCAGATTCTCAACCAGCCTGTGCAAGATTATTTTTGCCTACATCCTAAATATGTGTTCCTGGGTATCCATCTGCAATGGAATTTAAAACTGCTAGAAAAGTAACCTTTGAAAATATTTTGATGGTACTACAGTATTGGCAGACTCACCCCATAGTCTTTGAAGAACATATTTCTTTGACTCGCTCACATATCTACTGCATATCTACTGTAGAATTCCTCTACTTCTAACCACAGCATAATAAATGTATGTGACTTGTATATCCTTCCTTCCCTCCTTCCTTTCTCCTTCCCTCCCTCCTCCCTCCCTCCCTCCCTCCCTTCCTTCCTTCCTTCCTTCCTTCTTTGCTCCCTCTTGCATAGAAATGTCTCATTCTCTTCCCTAGATGTGATCACACATCATGAGGCAATCTCAAAACATGTAAATTCTGGTAATCCAAGGGAGGAGAAAGAAGCAGCTAAGTAGACAGAGTAGAAATTTAAAAATGTCTATCTCAGAGTTATTTGTTGGAGTGGAGGTTTTCTGGAACGCTGACAGAATGGTTGTAAGTCAAGGATGTGAACTCTATTCACATTTGCAAAGTTTCACGGCTGCATTTATTTTTCTTCTTGGGTTGTTCTACTCTGTCTACTATAGCTGTCCACTTTAGGTGCTTTTTCAGGAGGCAACTGGACTATCTTGCTTTTATTTATATGATGATTTTTTTTTTATTTGAAGACATTTCACTTCTCATCCAAGAAGCTTCTTCAGCTGAGGAAGCTTCTTGGATGAGAAGTGAAATGTCTTTAAAGAAAAAACTGGAAAGTCCAGTTGCCTCCTGAAAAAAACACTTTTGGGACAACCATGACCTGGATAACTGAGAATATCTACAGACCAAGAGCAATGGCTATTATGTTGTGTTCCTAAATGGAAACAGGGTTAAAGGTGTGTCTCTGCAAGACCATACATGAGTCTATTCTCACCCATGGATGTTCCCTGAAAGTTGTTTCATCAACTCCTAGGTCAAGGTATTTCCAGGTTTATTCTGGAGGAAAACGTCTACAACGTCTTGCCCTCCTAGATAAAGCATGAGGTATATGAGTCATAAATTTAAAATTAATAAAACAGGCATAAATTGATCAGCCCCCGTGGAAGTGGGGGAGGCTAATTAATTGATTAGACACAAAGCTTGCTGAACAGATTTTTCAAACATTTGAAACCACCCACCTTGCTGTTCCATTAGTTTGAAACTAGGAGACCATACTACATGATGTACATTATGCTTGTCTAGTGACTACGTGGTCACTTCAGGCTTTCATACCTGTAAAGAACCATTGGTCTTTAGGATTTGGACTTAGCAGAGTGGACTTGATTTGTCCTGTATTGTAGCTGGATCTTCACACCAATTCCATAGGCTTCTTGGCTTGGAGAGAACCTGTTGTAGCCCACCGGTGGCTAGCGGAGCTGGCAGCAGAGTTGGACAGTGAGGAGATTGGGGAGGAACCTGGGCCGGTCCTGGAGGCTGAGGAAGGCTCGGATGAGAGCTCCACATCAGAGGCAGAGATGGGGCCAGGGCAGGCTGGCAGTTATCAGCTGCCTTCGAATCAGACAGCCATGAGGAGGAGGAGCAGCTGGAGCCGGTTCCCAGTCTACGCATGCTCAAAGCTGCCAAAAGAAAAGAACAATTACGAACTAAGGTCGGCATGGGAGTAAGATCAGACATCAGTGAGGCAGAAGAACAGCTGGAGCCTGTTCCCAGTGTGCGCATGTGCAGAGCTGCCAGAAGAAGGGAACAGCTAAGGAACAAGGCTTGACTTGGGAGTAAAGGCTCAGGTGGATGGTGAATGGCCCCTCCCATAGGGATTAAAAGAGGAACAAAGGGGGAGGGGGCTTTTGCAGGAAGCAATTTGTTCATTGCAGCAGTGTGAAGATCTATCTGTGCATCTCAGAGACTCTGTGCTGAGTCCTTCCTTGTCAGCACTACGTTTGAAAATATTTACTTGCAGCTCTCCAGGCTAGATAAGGTCTGTGCTCCTAATTAAGACCCTTGAAAAATTCTTTGCCGGGCCTTTGGCTGAAGGTGAATGCAAGAAATTCACCTTCGTTTAATAAAAGGAGTTTTGCTGGGACAAAAAGTCTGCTTAGTGCTTTCTGGGGAAGCCTAGATCAGAACGGAACCTTGGACAGAATTACAGGTCATCCTCAGCTTACAACAGACCATTTAGTGACCATTTGAAGTTACAATAGCACTGAAAAAGGTGACTCGTCATGATTGGTGATGATGATTACAGCCTCCTCATGGTCACGTGATCAAAATTCAGATGCTTGGCAACTGGCTCATGTTTACGACAATTGCAACATCCCAACATCATACAATCTCTTTCTGCACCCTTCTGAAAAACAAAGTCAATGGAGAAGCCAGATTCACTGTTACAACTGACGCGATTCACTTAACAGCTGTGGCAATAGTGGCTGTAAAATGGGGCAAAGGTCACTTAGCAATTGTCTCACTTAGCAAGACAAATTTTGGTTCAATTGTGATCATAAATCAAAGGCTACTTGTAGCATTGCAAGCATTAAGTACAAGAGCGAAGGGCATTTCTCTTCCTGTTGGCCAAATTTATATGCAGCTCATCACAGAGTGATACGGTGAGGACAATATGCAAATCCAACTGGTATTAATCCTTTTGCAAAAAGCTGCATCGAAGCTATCAGATATTTAAGTTACTAATTGGTATTATTTCATATTCCATAAACATAACTCTGGAAAAAAAAAAGTAAATTAAAAACATGCATTAGAAAGAAGAAGAAAAACACTTATCTTTTGTATGCAAGGGAGAGTAGAAGAATGTTTTTGAAAGCAGTTAATTCACTCCCGTAAATATTTAATATTCTCATTGTTGTCAGCAATGTACCGATGGCAGCAAACATAACATTTTCCGGCTTTCGTGTTTTATTTAGTTCTACCATTTCTCATTAAATAGTCTTTGAATGCCTCTCTTTGAAGTTTCTTTTCAGCAACTAGCAAGATGCAATGGAGAATCTCCTCGGCATTCTAATCAAAGACATGCAGAGCATTTGAGCAGCCACAAAGAGCAAAACTTCTTTAAAATGAGACTTATTGTTCACCCATTCATACTTGTGGCTGAACTCGATGGGCCCTTAATCGCATTAGAAGCGTGAAACTTCAAGAAAGGGTAATTGCATCATCGCTTTTTTAACACAATTGTCCTTCCCATTACTTCCTAGTTTAATTTAATATTTTCTTGGGTTAGCATCATACAAGTAGTCCTAACCAATTGCCATGCTACCCTCTTATAGAGAGAGGCTTGTTCTGTGAATTTATGTATTGTTGGAAACAGCGCTGGGTTCTTTTTTCTGTTTTCTTCATATGCCAAAGCAGAAAGCTTAATTTGCTGTGCAAGGAATTGTTAAATGTTGCATTAGAACTTTGCAACATGCTGACACATTTTTTTTTTCAACTCGTCCCAAGGATTGTTGCTGGTATCACTAACTGGATTTTTGAAAGTATTCTTATTTGTGAGTATCCATTCTAATTAGCTTCATTTGCAATATATTAAAGTGTTGTGGATAATTTTGCAGGTGGGGCTTTATGGAACTCGTGAACATGCCTTGTTAAAGCATGAAGCACCTATAGCATTAATTCCCTTGCTAAATTTATACAACCCCCTTTAAAAAAAAAAACATGGAGAATTGGGCAAGTCAGTCTTAGCTTCCCGATGCTGAAGTCTGTCCTAGGAAACAGCTCATCTTTGATCTCTGACATTTATTTGTATTGATGGTTCAGATTGTTAAATTCTGAAGTTAACTTGCTAGGGGGGACCAGATGTTTGAAGTGATTATTCAATATTTTTTTATTTAAACAATTTAGATGGCCGCCCTTCTTGTAAAATGTAACTATGGTGACTGAACATAGCAAAAACAAAAAATAATGCGTTGATCATAAATTCATTGTCTGGCAGCATGGATAGGAGAACTTGGGAGATATCTAAATGACCTACATGGAGAACATAAGACCATTACATTCTCCTAGAGTTGAACCATACTTGGAAGCCCTAGTAAAACCATGACAGACATCTAAACCACAAAATCCAGTATACAGAAAAAACTCACATACCCTATCACGTCATTTCTTCACCCTCCAAAACAATCAAAGAAGAATTATTGTATTACTAATGAACACGGGTATCAAACTAAATGATACACCAGACAAGCAAGCCTCTGCATGGAAAATATCAACATGACCAATGAACATTTTTAAATACTATTCCAACACTCTGTGCACATTCATTGAAGGAGGATGATAAAAATTGTGGACATTAGACTAGACATACCTAGTTCCTTCATTTTTTTCATCATATGGTTCAGCCTCCACAGTTCTGATCTTTTGTATACCTTCTCTAGGATCTCAACATCATTTTTGACTGTGTACTAATTCTGCTTTGATTTCCTCTTCACACATGGTTACAAGGGATTTTCTCTCCCTTCCTCCGTCTCTCTTCCTTCCTTTCTCTGGCCTAATATGGGACATCAGATGATATTAATGGTGTCCACATTCAACTAAAATGAGATGAAATTCTTTGAACAATAGAGTTTTGCCTTTCAATATCTCTGGGTCACCTGTATTTCTCACTAGTGGAACATACACATGGATGCACCTCCCCCCACACACAAAGACAATTGTTAAGACCATATGTTTACATAATAGATTATGTATTGAGTGATTAACACAATTAACCCCTAGATGGAAAATGCCCACCCTCCCAATCAATAGAAAATAAAACTGAAATTTTGAACGTTTGAGATCATTTATCTGAACCCTTGATGTAATAATATTCACATAGTCTACACAAATACAAAAGTGGAAAATTTGCATTGTGATGTTACAGAGCATATTAATTCAAGTTGACATTGCGATTAAATGTAGATATCTTTGTCTGGAACAGCAAAGTGATGATAACTATGTTAGAAATCAAACCTGTTGGATGTTAAAGCCTGCTTTCCTTTCCAAGGAAATGCATTATTTATCAAAGGTAAGTCAGCTCACAGCCAATTTAGCATAGGTTAACAGTCAAATGCTCACAGTAGCAGAATATTTGACCTCTTAGCCTCCTAATGAAGCAAAACATTGATGTATCCTAAACTTCAGACTAGCAGGAAAGATTGTAATTTATGATAAATGCACATATAATGTCCTCTGGGAACTGGAACTACATTCAAAGGAATTGTGATATGTTAGAAGATAAATTAGCTACTGATTGAGTCAACAATAAATAGAATAAAAGTTTGCCCAGCATGACTCTCCATTTCATTCCAACTTATTGTAGTGTAACCATTGTTCTTTGCAGATGGGCTTTAAGTAGTTATCTACTCATCTGACCTAGCAGAGGGGTAGTAAAAATCACATTTTCTGTAGGTAGATAAATAAATCAAATAAACCATCTAAACTGAAGAACGTTTATTATTATATAAACAAAAATGTGAAATCGCAACTGCCAGTTCTGGTGTTGGCTTTTATACACTCTGAATTCTTCCCAAGAACCTAAGATGTCATTGACTTTGTGTGTGTATGTGTGTGTGTGTGTGTGTGTGTTTATGCAGCTCAGCAGTGTGGCCTTTTGTAATTGTCAGGTGGAAACATTGTCAATGTTCACATTTTCTAAGCGTGATACTAGATTTATTAGTAGGGCATGCAGTGACTGAAACACTTGAGACCACCATAGCCAGCTTATGCCATAAGCTTTCAAATTTTGTTGTAGATCTTGATACTTTGACATTGTCTCCAGTTCTTCATCTTCCGTTCTACTATCTCCTGGTATTGCCATATTAATTGTTCATACATTCTTCTTTTTAACCACATTTATACCCAGTGTATTATGAACTGTTTTATAACCCGCTAGATATATTCAGAAATCCCAAAATATTTTAACCTGCTTATTTTCAACTATGTCTTTCCAACATTTTTGTTGTGGTTGTTGTTGTCATTACTGGTATATGGTAACTTTTAAAAGTGTTCCAATGAATCGTTTTGGCTGTGTTAGGTTGTTGTTTATAATCAGTTTCTGCAAACTTCTTATACCAGCTGAGTATATGATCTCCTGTTTCTTCTGCCTTGTTGCACAATCTGCACATTGAAACAAACATTTAATGAATTTTCAATTCTGGCCTTGATTACATTCATGTGAATAGCTTGTTCTTGAGCAGCCAAAACCAAGCCTTCAGATTCTTTTTTGAATATTCTCTTTGTAAGCCATTGCCAGGTTTTATTTTTTTATCCATGTTCTGCTTGGTATTTTGTAGAAGTTGACCATGTAATTTTTGTCTTTTCCAATTTATTTTCTTGTTATTACATTATTTGATAATCATGGGGTTTTTCTCTCTCTTGCACTCTCATTAACTTGCAATCTTTAGCTTGTATCAATGCTTGTTCTTGGTTGTCTCTTATGTAAACAGCTAATTCACACTTCTTTGACAATTTGTTTGACTTAAGTAAATGTCTGACTATATTTCTGCATGGTAGAAATATAATCCATGAATATGTCTGCAGGGATGTAATGCACAGGGGGAAATCATCATATATATATTTTTCATTTGTTGGTCCAAAAGTCAAATTCAGGTTGTGTCCAGATTCTTCTTCTTCTTCTTCTTCTTCTTCTTCTTCTTCTTCTTCTTCTT